GCTCCACCCACCCTTATCCTGCCCAAGCCCCGCCCCTAAGAACTCGGCTCTAAAGCGTTCTCAAGCCCCAGCTCCACCAGGGTCTTCGGGCCCCTCCCTTCAGAAGCTCACCCCTCACGGTTTTCCGGTCCCACCCTCTCGGAATCCCACCCCCTACCCACGTGCTCACGCCGTGTCCCTCCCAGCCCCGTTCGAGTTGCGGGTGTATTTGGGGGGCGCCCCCTGGCGCTGACCCCAGATCCTCTCCCCTTACCTCAGATTGAGGAGATCTTCAAGAAGGCCGGCCACCCCTTCATGTGGAACGAGCACTTGGGCTACGTGCTCACCTGCCCATCCAACCTGGGCACCGGGCTGCGTGGAGGCGTGCATGTCAAGCTGGCGCACCTGAGCAAGCACCCCAAGTTCGAGGAGATCCTCACCCGTCTGCGCCTGCAGAAGCGGGGCACAGGTGCGGCTGTGCTTCCATCCGCGCGCCGCGGCGTCGGGGGCGGACCCTTTGCGGAGGCGGAGCACCCACGCGAGTTGTGGGGTGGACGAGGGCTGCCCCTCTGTGAGCCTCAGTTTCCTCCTCTTGTACATGGGCATCCGCACGCCTTATCCCGTAGGAATCGATATGATATCATGGGTATATAATACGCATGTGTATACCCCGTGCCCCCTAGGAACCTCGGTTTACCATCTATAAAGGAGAGGATGGCCAGGACTCAACCCCAGGGCATTCTCGCTCCAGAGCTCACGTTTGGCCATCATGCTCTATTTTCATGTTGGAGGGTTGAGGCACGAGGTACCTAAATTAGCCGGAGGCGTGAGCCCGTGAATAGACATTTAGGAGGCTCTGCATGCACGTGACCTGTTACACAGTAGGCCCTCAGTACGTGCGGCCAGCTCAGTTGGCACAGGGGCAGCAGGCCCCGCTCCTGCATCTCTGCTCGCTCCTTATGCCCGCCCCTGCCTCCTGCTCCTGCAGGTGGTGTGGACACAGCTGCTGTGGGCTCAGTGTTCGACGTGTCCAACGCCGATCGGCTGGGCTCGTCCGAAGTGGAACAGGTGCAGCTGGTGGTGGATGGTGTGAAGCTCATGGTGGAGATGGAGAAGAAACTGGAAAAGGGCCAGTCCATCGACGACATGATCCCCGCCCAGAAATAGGCGTCCAGCCCACCCGCCGCCGACTGCTGGAGCCCCAGCCAAAGGGAGGACTCGGCCCATCGGAGCCCCGCCCCTCCCCCCCCCCAAAGGGTTCGGTCAACCGGGGGCTCTTTCCACCATTTTCGGAATTCCATTTCCAGCCAGAGTTCCAACCAACGGGCTTCATCCTCTGAGTTGTGGCCAGTGAAAAACCTCCCCCACAGTCTCCTTTTCCCAGAGCTCCGCCCACCACCGGGAACTCTGGCTAATGGAGAGCTGTCAGGCACATCTGGAGCTCATGCTTTTTCTACACTCAGAGCAACAAATAAAAGCAATGGTGGCCTTAGCTCTCGTGCGATGGCAATTGAGCAAGAGGACGAGGGACTTTTGCCATTGGCCGCTGTGCGGCTTGCCCTCCCTAGTCATGTCTTACCCCATCCCTAAAATGAGGCAAGTGCACAGTCCAATCCAAAACTATGAGGAATCTGAGACCCAGAGAGGCGTGGCCCCTTCCCAGCCTCCGCTCCCAATCAATCACTCGTGTTCGGATCTCAGAGCACCAGGGAGAGCACCAGGCTGACCAGGGAGAAACGTAAGCCAAACAAAATGTCTGAGACTCGAATTTGGCCCACGGGCCTCGGGTTTTTGAGACCTAACGTGCATCTCCTCACATATACCCCGTTATACTTTTCACCGGCCTCTTTCTGTGTGACCTCCCCTCATCCATCCATAGCTGCTGCCAGTCCTTTAAACTTCCCTTTCTTTGCTCAAGAACCTGCCATAGCTCCCCACTCCTAGAATGCAGACCTATTATTTTCGATTCTTCAAACTGAGGTGCGCACCTTTCCCTGAAGGCTCATCACTCCCGTTTTTCGCCCATGATTCGTCTGTACACTTTTGCTCCTGACACCCTGCAATTCCCACCTTAATGCATTTGCCCATGCGCCTTCCTCCTCCAGACTGGGGCTTGGCTCATAGCATCCCCGCGAAGCCTTCAGGGACCCACCTTTTGGAGAGCTTGGTCCCAGGAAGGAGGGTCGGGCACAGGGGGAGGGGCGGGGAATAGAAGGCAAGAAGCAGGTCAGCGTGTATTGGGTGTTGGCCACGTCAGTCACCTCTGCTCGACCCAATAGGCTGAGGTCTCCACTGGCAAAGGCAGAGCGGCGGCCTCAAAAA